AAAAGTTTTCTCCAAAATGACTTATAATGAGTATTTTATTTAATAATGAGCACTTTAGAAATAAATGCCTTCAGTGGTTTTAATCCATCACCATAGGAAGCCTTTAAAACTGGTAGACTTGAACATAATAATCATAATGTTTGGACCATTAAAACTGCTGACAATATCAATGAATTGAACCCATGGTGAATTTTAAAAGCTGCAAAAACATCACTAATATATCTGTAGGAGATAAAGATTTGAAAACCCTCCTGTGACAAATGAGCTGGCTCACTGATATGCTTCTTAAAAATATCCCATAATGTTAGCCTGCTTCTCAGTGGAGAAAAGGTGTCCCATATTATGAAGCATGTTGCTACCAGCAGATGCTCAGATTGGGACTTATCAAAACCTGGATCCAATACCCAGCCAAAGGCCTTTGTTGATCATTGTCTTAACAAATGTTGTGTGTTTGATACTACTTCAGTATAGCTACCTGGATATTGTGAGCTGGTTATTTTCTCTGGTTTGATTTCATCTTCTTGGTCCTACAGTTTTAGAGAAATAACTAATATGCCCCTTAATAATCAATATCTCCATTGTGCAGTTACATAGAAATTTCACACATTCTTAAAACTAGAACATCAAAGCCTAAACAGAAAGTAATCTCCAAGACAGAAGCGTTAAGCACATGGTGAAAAACAGAATGTGCTGCGAAGCAATTCCATATTAGGCATGAATAACTATCAGGGTGTAAACAGATACAGCACTAATCTGTTGATACCTTGAATTCATGTTTCTCCATTCCTAGTGATATGACTGAGAATCAAAAAAAAAAAATAAAGGGTAACATCAGACAGGATCCTTCCATAAGACCATTTAAAGGAAATAAGGTCAAAATGATTAACAGCTTTGTCACTATCTCAGTGTCCTCTTGTTCATAAGAGGGCTTACAATGCTYCTCAGAAAAAAATACCTTATGTGGCTAAAATACTATCTAACCGGGAATCCCCAGCTATCAGGGCTGTTGTTCAGAGGAATATTCCTTTCAGGAATAAATCCAAAGGGAGAAATACAGCCTTAATGAAAGCAGCTCGCAGCTCCACTAGGCTCAAGAGGCCTAGGCCTTTTTACATCAGGATTGAATTTGCCACAAAGTGCACAAAACCAATGTTGTGTCTTAAAGCTAATTGAGGATTTGTGATGCTGCATCTTTCAATTGGGAAAGGTCAGCTCTGTGATTTCCAGGTCAGAACTGCTTGAMAAGGATTTAGTGCCATCTACAACTTGGGACATGCTAACAGGCTTTCCTGTTTAAAGGGAATGTTGTAACTGTAAAAAGGGGCTAAGAGGGCAAAAGCAGGAGGAAAAAAGAAAATGACTTAAGTGATTTATCCTTCAAGATTCTCAGAATAGAAGCTTAATTGTCCTATCTTTCCATTATTGCACCACCATATCTATRTGAAAACTATGATTGAAAACTATCATAGTTTTCAAACATAAATAGCAAAGACTTCATAATCTATAGAGTGTATGCAAGACAATTCGTACCTTCCTGGAAAGCCTACATCCCTTCATGGTGAAACAGGGCATTGTGGAACCCTATCCAACAAATTAGATGAGCAGTGAGATCCATCATTTAATAACTGTGAATGCTTTTCATATTTTTCTTTTTCCTCTGCTGGATGGATGGAATGATGCTGTAGCATGGGAGAATATTACACTGGCCTCTTGTGTACCATATTCCTCTTCAAGGACAAACTAACACTTTTTTTTTAATGGGAGTTTCTGAGCTTGTTATCCAAGCTGCATTCCTTTTCCCAGATCTCATCTTTAGCACATCTCCCAGAGGTATCTGAGAGTTTAGACCCAGACGTGCACATGAATCCATGGGCCTGGGCAGGTCCCACTGAAGTCAATAAAGAGCTTTTTGGTGATGAATAGATGTCCACTTGGTTCAGCTGGAAGATAAAAGCTGTTCAAGAAAAACTTGGGGACATTTTTTTTTCTTTTATGAAAATATGCCTTATTCTTCTCTCACTTCTTTTTTATTTTCTTCAAGTAGTTAAAAATAAATGGGAAAATGTGCACCTTTGAAAAATGTTGAGTAGTCCTGGAACATAGTACAAAAGGTTTAATGTGACCTTTCTGATGTAGGACTCTTAATTTTGAAATTTACTGTCTCCAGTCAAGATTTTTTGGTGATAGTAAAATCCTGAAAAGTAGAAAAAGAAGTATCAGGATTTTCAGAACTGAATTTTCACTTGCAGGTACCACAGTTTCCGTAAAAACAAAAAGAAAAAAAGAACACCTGTGAAACTTTGGTGCATTAAATCTTCCACACTATAACCTCAGGCTGATCTAATTTAAGATCAGGCAGATGCTAATGTAATCATTTACCTGGCAATATTAATTTTTGGAAAAGAGCRTGGTGTTAGTTAACCTGTACTTTACAGAAGCATTAGGCTCTCAAGGCTGCCTCTGGAAGTCTAGCAGTAACAGGTCACCTCTGTGCAGCCCGGCGCAATGGCCCAGACCAAGGGGCATGTTGCAGATGTGCATGTAAAACCCTCAGAGTGACAGGGCTGGGTGCTGCTCCCAGGCTAGGGTGAAGACTGAACTGCACGGCGTTTCTCAAGCAAAAAGCACCTGCCTGGGGGGCTCGAAGGGCGCCTGGAGGAAACAAGCTGTAGCTGGCAGCACTTTTTGCTTCTGTTTGCCAGAGTTTGGTTCAACGTGAGAAGAGGCACCTGGGCTGCACCGATGTTGAGTCCCCGTGGGATGGGACTCCCTGGGGTGCTGAGGTGGGCGCCCGGGCCCCACGCAGCAGGAGTGGGGGTAACGATCTCCGCATGTGAAGCCGCTCGGGGGCGCGGGGAGCGGGGTGGGGGGGTGCAAAGCAAGCGTTAACCCTTCCCCACCCTCCCTCCCCACAGGCATTTGGGGGAGGAAGGGAAGAAAAGCGCAGCGCGCCCCGACGGGGTGAGCGCCGCACGGCACGGCGCTGCTGCGGCGCGGGGGAAGCCCCGGCCGCTTCCTCGCTGCGGCAGCGAGGGCGCAAAATACGCCTCTGCCGCCGAAAACTGCGAGAGGAGCCGCGGCGGCGGCAGGAGAGAGGGGGCGCTTGGCAGGGGCTGAGGTAAGCGCGGCTCGGCCGTCCACGGCCGCCGGTGACCCGGCGCGCACCGGGTGACACTGCGGCTTTAAGCGATTCAAAGGAAATCTTGTGTTTCTCATGCACAAACACTTTCTGCCGGTCTCTCCCCTCCCCTCCTTCCTCCTTCTCTTTCTCCCTCCTGCCTCCTTCTCCCTCGCTCCCTCTCTCCGTTTCTCCTCCCCCCTCAGCCGCCACCCCCCCCTTTCCCCCTCCCCTCAAGTTTCTCTCTCTGATTAAATGAGAAGGAAGTGTGGGAGTGGTGGTTTTGAAGCTCTCCCTTTAAGAGGCAGCCTGCAGTGACGAATTGTTGAAATTGCCATTGCAGGATGGCATTCCGCTATAAATTCATTGTTCCACCTCCTCTCATCTTCACATTTCTCTCCCTTCTCCTCTTGTTCACATCGACGGACTGGGGATAACAACAACAACAGAAAAGATAACGGGAGGGGGCTTTTACAAAAATCCAGGACGTTTTCCGCTTCGTGTTTTTTTTTT